AAGGGAAGGCATTAGTAGCTGGGGGAACCAGGAAAGGCCTCCTGTAGAAGATGGGATCTGGGGCAGCTAGGTGATACAGTGAATAGGGCATTGGCCCTGGAGTCATCAGGACCTGAGTTCAAAAGTGGCCTCAGACACTAACTAGCAATGTGACCCTGGGAAAATCACTTAACAGAAGACGAAGACGAAGAAGAAGAAGGAGGAGGAGGAGGAGGAGGAGGAGGAGGAGGAGGGATCTGAATCTTGAAGGAAGCTAGGAAAATCAAGTCTAGCAAGAAAATTCCTTTTTAAGGAATTTGCATTAAGGTAAACATTTCACAAGGTAACAAAAGAAGAATACTCAGTGTAAATCCTTAGCTGTGTAACTGTAGTCAGATCATTCTGGGCACAAAATGAGGGGACTCTATTATCCCTTCTAGATTTAAATTCAATGAAGTTATGATGTCACTTTGCCTCTTATCTGTAAAATGGCAAAAAAATTACTACTTGTACTGCCAATATCCCAGGATTCATATGAATAAAACAATAAATCACACTATGCAAAATATGATAATGACTAGCATTTATACATCATTTTAAGGTTTGCAAACAGTTTTGCACGTATTATCTCATTTGTTCCTCACAATAACCCTGCGGGCTAGGTGCTATCATTTTATTTATTTATTTATATTTTACAAAGGAGGAAACTGAGGTTAAGAGTTAAAGTGACTTGTCCAAGGTCACATACATCTAGGAAGTGTTTAAGGCTAGACTGGAAATCAGGTCTTCCTGCCCAACCAAATCCAGCACTTTTACACCTTCTGCCATCCAGCTGCCTGGGAATGTAAACAATTCATACTAGTATGTTATAGCTCCTAAAGGTACGACTAGAAAAGACCTTAGGTCATCTAATCTAGCTCCCTCATCTCACAAAAGAAGAAACGGAGGCCTAGAATTGAGAGCCCTCTGCCCTCAGACTGCATATAAAACAGGATGGTGAAAGCCACCGAAACTCTCATTAGAAAGGTATTAGAATTTGTTCCCTCTCCGCAAGGATTAAGAAAATTCTGAAGAGAACATTCTTAGAAACCGTTAATACTCCATTGAGAAATTTGTTCGACATCCTACAATTAGCCATGTGCCCCAGTCCTATAATAACCTCTCATCTGAGAAGCTAAAAGAGAAACTTCTTCCCTTGATAAGCACTTAAGGTCTCAACGTTTTTTGTAGGTTTCTCTTCAAGTCTCTGTCAATGCTATTCATCAACTAAGTCACAAAGCTTCATGAGCCAACAAAACAACCTTCCATTAGTTAGTTGTTTGTTTAAGGACATAATATATCCAGCAAGCTTGAGGGAGAACTAAAAAAAAAAAAAGGATTGGACTTTAAATCAATGGAATAGACTTGTGAGTGGACGGGGTTGGTCAACAGAGAGACAGCTTGATCAAGTGAAGCGACACTTACCCTTGGATTAAGGAAGACCTGGGTTCAAATTCTGCTTCTGACACAGGCTGCGTGATAATAACTAAGTCACATAACCTCTCTAAGGCTTGGTTTGCCCATCTGTAAAATGGGGATCATAGCTTCCGCTGAATGGCTAAAGTTACTCTAGGCCTCCAAATGAAAGAATTCTATTGGCCATTCTAGCTTTAAATTCAATGATGCTCTAATGTCACTTTGCCTCTTCCTTAGGAAGATTGTCAATGGTCTCAAATAAGATGTCAATCTTTGCTTTTGTTGTTACTGGATAAAATTCAAATTCATTATGCAGGCATTTCAGGTATTTGGAAATTTGGCTCTAATGTACCTTTGCTGGCTTATTTACTACATTCCCCTTCACATATGCCACCTTCCAGCCAGACCCGCTACATGGTATCTGTAACCACATCCCGCTGATTCTACCTCCACAATATCCATCACTTCTGTTCCATTTCTCTACTACATCTCTTTCTTCATTCAGCCCTAAACTATCAAAAACAGCTGACTGGCATGGAAGCTTTCAGTTGTTCTTATTCCCCACCTATGCTCATCTGCCTGGCAGTACCCCCTTCCACCGCTGGGGACTCACTATATTGAGGGTATACTCAGTGTGGATACCCAATTAGCTTTCATCTAGATATAGCTCAAAACTCCTGAAATCAAGAGAACCATCAGCCTCAGCCTCCCCATAGGAGGGCTGACACGAGTGCCCTCCCATCTATGACCATAATAGTCTCTTAACTATTGTCCCTGTCCCATGCTATTCGATTTTAAATCATTCTATGCAATGCTTCCAAAGTCATTTAAAAAAAAACAACAACCTGTGTGATAACCTGACTCTTCTGCTCAAAAACCTTCTATGGGTCTTTATAACGTCTCAAATAAAGTATGCTCTTTATCACAGCATTGGAGTATAACTTTTCCACAATTAACTCTGCCCTGCCTTCTCTTACCCTATTTCATGTTATTGATCACTCCTTTCAATCTCGTCTGACTCTCCATGACCCCATTCAGGGTTTTCTTGGCCAAGATACTGGAGTGGTTTGCCATTTCCTTTTCCAGCTCATTTTACAGATGAAGAAACTGAGGCAAAAAGAGTTAAGTAACTTGCCCAGGGTCACACAGCTAGTTAAGTATCTGAGACCAGATTTGTGTTGTGTTTTTTGTTTGTTTTGTTTTGTTTTGTTTTTTGGTGAGGCAATTGGGGTTAAGTGCCTTGCCCAGAATCACACAGCTAGTGAGTGCTATGTGTCTGAGGATGGATTAGAACTCAAGTCCTCCTGACTCCACAGCCGGTGCACTATCCTGAGTCACTTAGCTGCCCCCTGAGACCGGATTTGAACTCAGGAAAATGAGTCTTCCTCTTTATCCACTGCACCATCTAGCTGCCCCAATCTTATCTCATACTATTGTCTTAGTCTATATTGCACACAAATTGAGGTATCCTCTATCATTCTATGACTATGCATTGCTAGAGCTTAGCACAGTAGGATCTTGGCCACACATGCTTAGTAAATGTTTTTTCACTGACTGATTCTTATCCTGCTTTCTCTTGTCTTGGCACCTTTGGTAACCCAACTCTGCAATGGGCTCTCCACCAATCTCCATCTATTGAAGTCCCTCCTTCATGGTCTTTGAGGGCTACTTTAGGTAATACTTCTTTGTCAAAGCCCTGGTTCCCCAGGACCCAAGTGAAAGTGATCTCTCCCTGCTCAAATTCTTCATACCACCTCGAGTGTACCTCTCTTGTTCATTTACACTGATTGTCTCATGGCTGGGAGTGACTTTCTGGTACCTGGAGAACATCTGATCCAAACCCCTCATTTTATAGCTGTGGGCCACGGTGGGGAAATGACTGGTCCAAGGTAACGTAAGTCTCCCATGTCCAACAAATATTCTCTCTTCATCTACACTTCTTGGACTTCCTAGTTCCCTTAAAAGCTCAGCTCAACTACCTACCTCTTTCTATGTGAAACCTTTCCTGGTCCCCCCCAGTCGTTAGTGCACCCTTTTCCAAAACTATTTTGTCTTTGTCCTATACAGTATACATGCTGACTATACTGATATGTGTAAATATCTCCCCCATTCGAATTAAGGGCAGAGATTATTTCATGTGTACTACTGCATCCCCAGAACTTAGCACAAGACCTGCCACATAGCATTTAATAACTGCCTTTTGATTGATTTATCCTCCTGTAGGAAATGACCTCTACCTCCCTGGGCAGCTCACAAAATTAAACTGAGTAAATCTACTGAGTTATGGTTCAAACCCTTGTGTTCTCATTCTAAATTCAGTTTGCTTTCCACTGAACCATGCCCTTATTTATTCCTGCCTAAATCTTATAGTCCACTCTTTCCTTTGGATTGTACACCAGGTCCTATTATTATACCTAGCATCAGATTTCCCATCACCTTGCTAAACATTGTGCATAGTAGGTATGTAATAAATACAACCCAGAAGTTCAAAGGAAGTGTGATATGGTGGACAAAACAGTGAGGTTCGCAGTTAGGAAAAGGTGGGTTCAGATCCCATCTCAGACGTTAACTACCAGCTATGTGACCGTAGGCAAATCAGTTACCCTCTCTAGGCTTTAGTTTTGTCATCTGTTAAAAAAAAAAAAAGGTGGGAACAGATGACCTTCCAGCCCTAAAGCTATGATTCTATGTTTCTGTACTGATAAGTTCAAAAATTAACCACATACATTCATGTGGTCACACTATGGTACATAAAGTCTTTCTAATACTAATACAAAAGGGTTTATATATTTGATGGCAACTGGAAAAACAACCTTCAAAGGGAGATAACTGCAAATACAACTGGTTTTAGCTGCATTTATTTTCTTCTATTTTAATGGAAATCCTTGGTTGCTCATACCCTGATTTATTTTTAAGCTCAGTCACATTTATATTCACCTCTTAATCAGAACCAATATGAATGGTGGAATAACACTCATGTATTTAGAAGGAAGAAGAAGAGAAGGGAAAAAAGGTAAGGGGGAAAAAATAGAGAGATGCCAGATTGGTCAAACGCCTTCATCTCTTAATATCTCTGATGAAGCCAAAAGATAAAGCTAGAGAATCAATAACTAAAAAGCACCCTGGACCCAAGCAATGCTTGTATTCTGGTCAGTAGGGGTAATCCTTCCATTGGTTTAAACCCAACCCTCTCCTTCCTCCCCCCATCATTCTGTGTCATTCTGGTCCCTGGTTTTCCGCAAGTCTTCCATAGAAGAATTCTCCAAGGACACTAGAGGTCACTTTCTGCTTGTTTATTTAAAGATTCTGAGATCTACCAGTATAACCCTCAAAATGTCCAGGGGCTATCCTTTGCTCTTTCTATAGGATATCATAATTCAGCTTTGATTGTAAGCACCTTGAGGGCAGGGACTATCCTTTTTTTTGTTTTTTCAAATTTGTATCCCCAGCACTTAGCACTCAGGTGCTTTATAAATGCCGACTGAACTGAATACAAGTTCAATATACTGTTTGTAGGAAAAGCATGGGAACTGTAATGATTCCTAAAATAGGAAGGTCTATCTTACCTTAAGCCACTGCTCTGCTTGTTCTTTGCTTTGAACAGCCAGTACGAGGGCATCTGTGCCTTGATGTGTGATTTTCAGCTCATGCTTCTTCTTCTTGCTGTCTTTAGGGATATAAGTGATGCTACACCCATGCAGTGGCAGTTCCATGTGGGGTTGCTGGTCCTTGGAACTTTTGTAGCACTGTATTGAACAATAACCATACAGCACGGGTTTTAACATTCTTCTAAGAAAGCTTGTGAAGTAACACCAATCCCATCTTCTACAGGAAACCTTTCTCCATCCGTCTTACTTCTAGTGACTTCCCTCTGTTGATTTTCCTATTTATCCAATTTGTGCGTGTTGTCTCCCCATTAGTGAGCTTCCCAAGGGAGCTAACTGTTTTGTGCTTCCTTTATATCCCTAGTGCTTAGCACAGTGCCTGGCACACAGTAGGACCTTAATAAATGCTTACTGCTTGACTGATACAAAGGCAGTAAGTAGCACAGCTGGGATTTAAACTCAGATCCTCTGAATTTAGACTCAGTACTTTTCCTTCTGCCCCACCCTCTATTTACTACACAGTGTTGTATATTTCAGTTATGTGTGTATTTCTTCGTAGACTCCATGATGTCAGGGCTCATGTTTATTTCTGTAGCTCTGCTGTTTCCTAGCATAGTGCTACACAAAGTGGGCCCTTAATATTTGCTAAGTGAATGATAAAACCAACTAGGAGGAAGGGTAGGTAATTCTCAGGGCATCTGGATAAGTAATTACTCAGACTGGATATCCAAAGTGGAGGCTTATGCTGGAAAACAGATTAGCAATTTAATGGGCATCGGGTATTCAGTCTTATGACACATTCAAAATTCTTTTCTAAATGACTAAATCATTTTTGGGGAATAGCTGGGTCTACAGATAAGCAAGGCACAGTGACATGGTGAAAAGATCCCTGAATTTGGAATCAGGAGACCTAGAGGCTACATCTCATCTCCACCTTTGTGAGCTGCAGAAAATAGCTTGAATGCTCTAGGCTTTCATTTCCTCTTTTGTAAATTGAGTTGGTTGGACTAGATGACCTCTACAATTCCTTCCAACTCTAAATCCCATGATCCTAGAAGTCACGTGGCTAGATGTGGTGATGCTCGTTCCCGCTAAGCATGGACATATACAATGAGAATGTATTTAGACTTGACGTAATTCTGCATAGCATGGTGTTGAATGCGATGTACCCACAAAATTCCCGTGTGCTGCAAGAACCAGATTAAAATGTGATTGGGAAATGTTTGACAAAACAAATAAAAACGCAATAAAATGTGGACAACGTTAATTTGCGGATTTCTAAGTCAAGATGTGGCCTCTAAGGAGATCTGTTTCTGTTTGAGTTTGACATCACTGGTGTAATGGAGAGAAAGGAAGCTATAGAGTAAAAAGGAGCTGGGTTCAAGTGCCACCTCTACCACTTCCAGGCTGTGTGAACCCTGGGCAAGTCAATTTCGCAGTATCAGTGGCCACTTCCTAAGAATATATGCTCCAGAGTAGATGGTCACTTGTTTTGTAGAGGAAGTTGCCTCATTAGGAGGTTCTTTTTTCACTAAAATCACAAGTCCAGTCTAAAATCACAGCAACAACAACAACAACAACAGTAAAATAAAGGACTTGGAGTAAGGAGGATGTGAGTTCAAATTCTGACAGGCTTTTACCGGCTGCTTGCCCTTGGGCAATTCACTTAATCTCTCACAGCCTCAGTTTCTTCATCTGTAAAATGGGAATAATGATAGCACCGACCTCACAGCAGGATTGTGGTGAGCATCAAATGAGTTAACACATCTCAAGCACTTTGCAAACCTTATAGTGCTACATAAGTGATAATGATGGTGAATGAGGGGGATGATAATAATTTGATTAATTTTGATGAGGTAGAAGAAGGAATAATGTCTCTGTCTCTGCCAGATTCCCTATTGTTTTCTTTATCTGTGCAGCATATTGGAGATAGTGCTGAGTTTGAAGTCAGCAAGACCTGGGTTCAAACCTCAGATATTTACTAGCTGCATGACCCTTTAACCTCCTTTTGCCTCAGTTTCCTCACCTGTAAAATGGGAAGGATAATAGCATCTGACTCCAGGGTTATTGTGAGGATCAAATGAGATAATAAATTGTAAAGTGCTTAGCATGTAGTAAGTGCTATATAAATACTAGCTGTAATTATTATCATGATGGTGATGAGGGATGTGCCAGGCACACAGCACGTACTTAATAAATACCTAATTGACAGATAATACCTTAGGTAATAAATAATAAATAATTATAAAAAAACAAATTATAAAAAATAATAAATAAATAATAATACTTTAGGTAACAAATACCTGATTGACAAAAGTAGCAAGGGAGGCCTAAAGGTACCCCCTAGCTCTGTTTTTTCATGGTTCCATGGTTTAAGATTCCTTCCATCTCTGACATTGTTCTGGGTATGAAGAGATCTTCTAGCTCCAATGTTTTTCCTTGTATTTCTCAAATTCTATGTTTTACAGGCCACTCTTCTATCTTGGATTCTCTACAGTGTTCTACAATTGTTTGGAACTAAGTTACCTTTTCCTAATTTTTCTCTAGATAACATTCCTTTTCCCCCTTCTTCTGTTTTCAGCCTATTCTTATATTCATCAAAAATGTTTAAGCCTGGGAAAACACCTATCTAATAAAACGTAGTGAATATGTATCATCCTACCTTTCCCTTAAAGGAACAGACCCATCAGTTATAAAAAAAAAATGTAAAGCAGAAAAAAATATTGTGGTCTTTCATACCCATGCTAGTCAAAAGTAATAAAAAGCCTTCTGGACCCTCGAGAGAAAATAAACACAATTATTAAGGTGAAGAAGGAACTCTAGAAATTTTCAAGAAAATGGAAGATTAAGGAAAAGATGTTTGAAGTAGTATCAGTCTTAACTATTCTGTTGGCAAATCTATCGGCCTAGCCAGTGTGAATATATCATTACTATTTATTTTGTAAAGAAGAGCAATGTTGGGGGGGGGAGAAGGAGGGTGGTAATATCTAAGCAAAACACACCCCAGGGACATCAATGCCGGCTCAGAGATAGGTTGGATGACTTGAACTCTTGGGTCTCTCAACGCTGAGATCCTACAATTCTATATTCTCTCAAGAGATGATGAGTAGACATCACCAACATGCCACCAAAATAGTACATTTCCATTTCCGTGTGGATCCATCAACACAGCATATAAGGGACATCATGACTTAATGGTGCTTGCCCACCCAGTGTCTCGGCACCATTTCTGGATTTCCCCTCTGCCCCACTTTGCACCATTGGATTTTTACTAATCTATGATTTGAGGGAGATTATTCAGAGCGCTCAAGATCCCTCAGTGATCTTATATGTGGCTGAAGACCAGCAAACCCTTCTGTCCCAGGCTCCAGGTAGGTTTTATTTGGCTCAGCTGCTAGTCACTGTACTCCTTCTCCATACTTTTGCACAATGGAACCATAGAAAGAGCAAGAAGAGTCTTTCTATGTGGTATCTTTTGCTGGCTCCAGACTGAGTGGAACGGTACTGGCCCAGGGAAAATTGGAAATATCTAAACATAAGCTACAGAAATCTCTATAAACCATCTGTATACTTAATTTAAATAGGGGATCAAATTAACACCTCTCCCAATTTCACAGCTATGTCCATTTACATTTTTTGGGGGGGTGAGGCGATTGGGGTTAAGTGACTTGCCCAGGTTCACACAGCTAGTGTCAAGTGTCTGAGGCAGGATTTGAACTCAGGTCCTTCTGACTCCAGGGCCAGTGCTCTATCCACTGCACCACCTAGCTGCCCCACCTAAACTTTCAATAAGCATTTCCTAGTACAAAATAAATAATAATGATATAATCACACTGGCTAGGCCGATAGATTTGCCAACAGAATAGTTAAGACTGATACTACTTCAAACATCTTTTCCTTAATCTTCCATTTTCTTGAAAATTTCTAGAGTTCCTTCTTCACCTTAATAATTGTGTTTATTTTCTCTCGAGGGTCCAGAAGGCTTTTTATTACTTTTGACTAGCATGGGTATGAAAGACCACAATATTTTTTTCTGCTTTACATTTTTTTTTTATAACTGATGGGTCTGTTCCTTTAAGGGAAAGGTAGGATGATACATATTCACTACGTTTTATTAGATAGGTGTTTTCCCAGGCTTAAACATTTTTGATGAATATAAGAATAGGCTGAAAACAGAAGAAGGGGGAAAAGGAATGTTATCTAGAGAAAAATTAGGAAAAGGTAACTTAGTTCCAAACAATTGTAGAACACTGTAGAGAATCCAAGACAGAAGAGTGGGCTGTAGAACACAGAATTTGAGAAATACAAGGAAAAACATTGGAGCTAGAAGATCTCTTCATACCCAGAACAATGTCAGAGATGGAAGGAATCTTAAACCATGGAACCATAAAAAACCAGAGCTAGGGGGTACCTGGGAGATCATCTAGATTCTAGCAGAACCTCCCAGTTCATGAAAGAGGAAAATGAGGCTAATTCCTTCTTTTATAAAGTCCTGGTAACTAATAGGTATTTGTCAACACAAGCTACACTTTACATTTTCATGTTTACAGTACCAAATAATCATAGTTGATACATTTAAACTAGACATTTGGCTGCATTTTAAAAACATCCCACCTAAATTGCATTTAATTTTAATTTTTAATGGATGAGAAATATGTGTGTGTGTGTGTGTGTGTGTGTGTGTGTGTGTGTGTATAATTAAGCCTTAGAGGGCAATTATTCAGTCAGACAACAAATCTCATATGAACTGAGAATACATTTGTTAAGTTTTTGCTGCCCCTCTCCCCCCAGTTTCCTTTTTACTATTTATTTTTCATAATTCCGCATGGCATCATACTGGCTAAAACTAAACTTGGGAGCATTTTAGGCCACACGTGGTGAAAATATGCATCTTCACTGTTTCAAAAAACTGAATAAGAAACTTAATTAAAAGGGAAAAAAAAAGCAATGTCTTCATTACAAATTTAGCATAGCATTTCTTAAGTGTCCCATAATGAACACTCAAAAGTTGACAAAAACAGTTGATTCTTTGCCTTACTGAAAATGACCCTTCTCTGGACCACTGTTTCCTCATCTGTAAAAGGAAAGAGTTGGACTACATATGTCTCTGAGGACCCTTCCAGCTCTAAGATGCTATTCAGGATACTCATAAAATCATCCATGGATGACATAAAAATTATGTTTTGATGAGACAATTCTTGGGAAATTCTTCAAAACACAGAGGAAAACAAATGCAAAGGCTTCTTTGACGATACTATAATGCAAAGGCTTAACTTCAAGCTTATTTCAGAAGAAGGCCCCCCAAAATCACAGGTAGTCTGTGGACTATTAATTTATTTGGGTAGCTTTCCCTATGCTTTCTTCTGCATACTGTGTGGAAGATGGTTGGGCCTTAGAGCCTGAAGACAGGAACAAGTCACTTCATCTCTTTCAGTACCAGTTCATTCATCCATTAAACAGGAATAATTGTATTTGTCTAATGCTTTTCCTTCAAAAAGTGGGAGGAAAGAACTTTGCCAACTGTACAACTGGAAATGTGAGTTCTTCTTAAGGATTATAGTGTTTTAGCAAACCACATGGGTCTCCCTTTCCACTGCTGCTTGAACCTTCATTTTTTATTCTCTCCCCTCTCCCTGCCTTTCTGTTTAATTCTAGAAAACTCAGCATTTAGGTTTCAAAGGCAGAAAGGTATTTCCCTTCAGATACTTTTCCCTTCAAAACCTCCAGGCCCTTCATGCCCCACTTGCATGGCCTGGCATAGGAGAATACCATAGCTCACTTCAGAAGAGAACTAAGAAGTTCTAATTTTAGGCTTGTTAAAATGTCACACATTACCTCCCTTGCAGAGGTGGGGGACTGTGGTCATGGTACATCTCATATACTGTCAGATGAAGTTGATGGCTTGGTTGGTTTTTTGAAGTATGTTTTTCACCTCATTTAAAAATTTGTTTTTCTTGTTGTTGCAAGGGATGGCTCATTGAGTTGAAGAGGGAGAGGAGATATGCTCAGAAACGAAGATCAACAAAAGATGTCAATAAGAATTCAAAGAAAAGAGAAAATAGCCAGTCATGGTGTCACATGTTACTGGGGAGGCAAAGGCTGGCAGATCTCTTGAGCTCAGCAATTTTGAAGTGGTCTGGGTTATACCAATTAATTCAGTATTGATATGGTGAGCCTGTAGGAAGAGGAGTGGGGAACCAGTTTGCCTCAAGAGGGGTGAAGTGGCCCACATTGAAAGTGGAATAAGTCAAAGTTCTCATGAAAATCAGTATTGAGATCAAGCCCTAAGTAGCTCCTGCACCTTGAAGCTTGGGTGATATAAACTTTAATCTTGAAAGAAAAGGGGAAAAGTAGCTGGCAATAATGCTACTTTCATGGAAAAATATGTATCACAGTGAAAAAGGAAGTGCCAAGTGACCTGTCCCTACAATCACTCTGAACTGTGAATTCTTTCTCCAATCTGCTCAAGATCTGCAATTTACAATCAATGGTCCTATTTGATGAGTATCCATTACTTCCTCTGTTCCAGGAATTGAAGTGCTGGAGGTACACAGAGAAGAATGAATCAGCCCTTGCCCTCTTGGAATTCACAGTCTATTGGAGGTGGCCTGGGAAGTTGAGGGAAGAGTCAAACGCTCTCCAAATTTTGGGGCCCGAGAGCAATGGATGGAACATTCAAAGGCACAACACAGATTTAGGCTTAAAATATGAGATTTTTTTTTCTAACAACAAGAGCTATTCAAAAGGTTCCACCTCACCAGAGGTTTTCAGGGAAGGGCTAGCTGGCAATTTGTTGTCTGAATCATAAAAGGCATTCTTATTCAGATACAGAATGGCCTCCAAAGTCCATTCAAACTCTGAGATTCTGTGAAACAGAGGCGTTTGGGGGCCATAAAGCTTGAGAGGAAGAGAATTTGCTCGGTTTTGGATATGATGAATTTGTAATGTGAGCAGAGAACCTGCCTCGAGACATGCAGCACTGGCTATCAGAAATAAGGGTTTAGAGGGGGCAGCGAGGTGGCGCAGTAGATAGAGCTCTGGCCTTGTAGTCAGGAGGACCTGAGTTCAAATCTGGCCTTGGACACTTGACACATATTAGCTATGTGATCCTGAGCAAGTCACTTAACCCCAATCGCCTCACCAAAAAGGAAAAAAAAAAGGGGTCTAATGTAGAAGAGAGACTGAGATGAATCTATAAATTTGATTGTCATTTACAGGAAAGTGATCATTGAAGCCACAGATGAAATTATCAAAGCAGGGAGTAGAAAAAAGAGAAAAAAGATGAAGGAGAGAGCCTTGGGGGGGCATTTATGCTTAGTGGGTGAGCAAAGAAAACGAGAAGGCACAGTCAAAAAGCTTGAAGAACAAACATAATAAATAGTGCAGAATCTCGGAAGGCAAAAGAGAAGAAAATATCTATAAGAGAATGGTCCATGGCATCAAATGTCAGAAAAAAGGTTAAGAAGGATGAGTACTGCCAGAGGCCATTAGATTTGGCAATAACATGTAGCTGAATCATGCTGGTTTGGAAAGGCAATATCACATTGACAGTAAAATACAAATACCCCCAAACCAAGGGCATCTGGAAAAAGATGAATGGATTTAAAGACTAGTGCCATATGGAACCACAATGATCTGAGGGGTGTGCCCTCACATGTCATAGACCTAATATTTTTTAAAAGGCAGATTTACAACTGATAATGCAGTGCATGCGTATTTGATTTGCAGAAGGATTCTTTTCTTTTCCTATGAATAATAAGCTCATCTCAAGGAAGGGAACTACTGGGGGTGGGGGAGGTATCAAGAGTCCTAGATTCTATTCCTTCCATTGACTGTGTGACCTTGGGTGATTTCACTTCAAGCCTCTCAACACAGTTTCCTCATCTGCAAAATGAAGGGACCAAAGTAGGTGATAATGGATGAGATTTATGTAACAAAATTAAGGTTTATAGAATACTTTCTTCATAATAACTTTGGTATTGTAAGCAGCCCAAATATTAGTGTTCAAATTTCACAGATAAGGAAATCAAGGCACAGAGAGGGGAAGAGAATTGCTCAAGGTCACATATCTGATAAGTAGAAGAAATGAAACTAGAAGGCCTTTTCAATTCTACCATAAAAAATGATTTATATTAATAATTTTTGATGCTGTCATTTCTTAATATTTGTTGAATCAAGCTGAGTCAAATTTAATTTAAAATGTCATTCAATAAGCAAAACTTCAATTTACACATAACTTTCTGGGCTCACTTGCTTGACATACAGCTGTCAGGAAGTCATTCAATACCTTAGTGCTTTGGTTTCCTCCCCTTTCTCAAAGTGAATATTGATTCTGAATGTGCAAACAATGGGTAATGCATTAGAATTTGTCTATACGCTAGGGTAGATTTTACTTAAAACTATCTGTTCCAAAAGTTTTACCAGTAGTTTGGTATCTTTGATGACACAAAGCAGCTTGGTCCACTGTCCAAACCGTTTCTTTCTTAAGAGGAATGCACAGATTTTAGCATCTTTCACAAGATCCATGGAGGCTTCGTCTGATGGCCACTGGTGTCTCGTCTTCTTCCCTTTCCCATCTTCTTCTTCTTCATCATATGATTCATATGAACTGCTCATTGCATCCGAATCATAATCTTTCAAGAAACAGCAAAGTAGACCAGTTAAAATAAGCTACCATGAAGAATGTCTACAACCTTGAAAAGCTAGAAGAATACTGTGTTATACTGCCCCCTCCACTACTCTGAATAGTTATAGGTTTCATGATGGGGGGAAACCAAGTTTTATGGCATCACACTTTACTCTCCACTTCCAGTATACTATACAATATCCTATGTATATAAATAAATAATAAACATATCGTTGGATTGAATGATAAACTGAGCCTTGTTTTGGTCATTTATTTCTACAAACTAGGAGTGTTGGGTGTTGGAAACTAAAATGACACCCATTTAAAAAATTAGAGATATTCTCAATCCGAATACTTCAATGACTGAAAATTTACTTGAAATAGGAAACGGCTTTTTAAAAATCCTTCTGCACATCATTTCCTTCACCAGATAACATCTAAGCAGTTCAAATTTATAGCAATTCACAGTTTACAAAGCACTTTACAGATATGATCAAATTAGCTCCAAACAACTGTCTTATGAGATAGCTAGCAAGGGACTCAGAAACGTAAGTTCAACACAGTGAAATAACTTATCCAATTCCATACTAGCAGCTCTGGTCTTGAAATCAGGAAACCTGACTTGAGTCTGGATAGAGATTTTCCCATTTACTGATTTTTTTAACTGGCTTTAAGTCACCCATCTCTTAAGAAGGTTTGCTCATCTTTAAAAAGTGAATGACAATACTTGAACTACCTACCTCTTTGTGTGGTTATGAACAAAGGACTTTGTAAACCTGAAAGTGCTGGGAAAATTATTGGAGTTCTTGTGATTACCATTAGTAGAGGTAGTGTTCTGCATCATTACTCACTGAAATGAAAGTCTCAAACAATTTGATGACCAAGAACCTTATGGTAAAAAACGAAGCAGCTCATAAAGAAATAAATTACCTTTTATTCCAGAATTAATTGGGCTAAAATAGACATAACAATGGATTGGAAGGCAAGAGGCCTAGAATTCTAGGCCAGGCTCCATTGTTTATCCAAGATGAATCACTTTAACTAGGAGAAACCATTCATTTTAGTCCTTACTTTCCATACCTGTAAACTAGAAGAAATAATCACTGTCCTGACAACCTTGAAGGGTTAATGTATGGTTCAGAGAAAATGACAGATGGAGAAAATCCTTTGGATTTTCCAAAGTAAAGTGCTCTGAAAGCATGAACAATGATTATTCGACAGTCAGGTGTGCTACACCATCCCATGATGAAAATCTCCAACCAATTCTTATTGAAAACCATGCAAAAAGCCAAAGGGGGAAACAAAACAACTTACAAAGCAAATGATGGGAAAATGAGGATATTTTGTGTGTTTTAGGTTTATTGAATTTTTCAATAATAGGCATATAACCACACAAATTCTAGCATCCTTAATTTACAGATGAGGAGACCAAAACGCAGAGGGATAAAATTACTTGCTCACAGGCTTAGGGCTGCAATCGAGTCAGGAATTAAACCAATGTTTGCTGACTCTAAATCCAGGTTGCTTTCCACTATACCACAGGGTTCTTTAATTACAACACAAACAAGTTACACAAGTCCAAGAACTGGCATAATTAAATTAAATCTATGGTAACCTAAAATGCCTAAGCAAACCAGCGTGACCCTCGTACTTCGGGACTGCTTGGGGTCACAGAAAGAGCTTACAGCTAAAAGAATGAGAGTCATACGCTAGTGATAACACTGTAAAGTGCAATAATCATGCTAGCACTCTACACCTCACAGGACTGTAGAAGGAAAGCACTATATGTGAATTATTAATAACTCCCTTCAAAAAAAATAAAGGAATATGGGGTTTGGGTTCAATGAAATGTCTTCTTTCTCCCATCCCAAATTCCTTTAAAAAAAATTAAATCAAGTCACTATCAAGTCAAGACATTTCAGTTATTTCTTATTTGGTCTCATCGAAGCCAAGGCAATACAATGTTCTAGGTTCTGGGAATACAAGGACAAAAATGAAAAACAGTCCCCATCAAGGAGACAACATTCTAGATATAAACACACATTTACTTTTCTGGAAAAAAAAGTTAGACAATTATCAAATTGTTATATTGGTTCATTTCAGTATTCATGTCATTGGAGAGAATAAAAAGTGTGAATGCTTCTGAGAACAAGAGTTCCAGGGTGGTTCTAAAGATTTTGTTCATTTCCATTAATCAGAACTATGGGGACTGAACCAGATACTAGATAGCATTTCTCGTATCATTCTCATTAAAATGCTGGACTCAAAGATACAAAATCTATATTCCAGGCTCTTTACATTTACAAGATGTGTGAGCTTAGAAAAATCACAAACTCACCCCAACCCTGTAAAGTCTCAACTAAAATCCCACCTTTTACAGGAAGCCTTCCCCAATGTCTCTTAATTCTAGTGCCTTTCTCTGTTAATTTCTTGTTTATCTTGTATATAGCTTGCTTTGCATATATATTTGCTTGTATGTTGTCTATCCCATTATATTATAAGCTCCTGGGCCAGCTAGGTGGCACAGTGGATAGAGCACCAGCCCTGAAGTCAGGAGGACCTGAGTTCAAATCCGGCTTCAGACCAAACACTTGACATTTAGCTGTGTGACCCTGGGAAAGTCACTTAACCCCAACTGCCTAAAAAGAATAAAAAGAAAAAATATATGTATTATAAGCTCCTTGAGGACAGGTACTGTCTTTTGCCTCATTTTTTGTCCTTGGCACTAGTACAATGCCTGACATACAGTAGGTGCTTAAAAATTTTTATTGACTCATGAATCCAATCAACAAATATATGTTAAGTGCCTTTTGGAGACAATTGTACTGTAGTAGGTACTAGGAGTACAAAAACAAAAACGAAGATTAGTCCTTAACCTCAAGGAATTTACATTCTATCAATCAGATATAACCTCTAAGCTTCAGTTTCCTCCTCTGTAAAATGGGGTTTATTATTATTCCTGATGCAGTCTACTTTAAAAGGTTGCTGTAGAAACGAAGCAGGTGAGATAACAGTATCTCTGTTGGGCAAGCTCAGGTCGCCTTGTTCAACTTGGACTAAGATGATGAGAAAGAAATGGCAGAACTAGCAGAAGGTAGAGTATTATGAATTCGCATATCTACATTGGACAGTGTTCTGCACCATTCCTTACAAAGATGGAAATGAGCTTAAGTTACCCATAGAGCTTCTCAGAATGAATAAATCCCATCCAATTAAAGGAACCAAAAAGCCCCAGCAGCTGTGCCCTCATTTTCTCCCCACCAGGAAAAGCCACATCATGAACCTGACCTTCAGATACTATGCCCATTCTCTCCTTGGAATGTTAATACATTCTACAATGTTGTGATTGATGTGTGAGGGAATAAGGGAGTGTACACACATTTAATTCCTTATATGTAGTCAGCCCTGGACCTTGTGTCTTGCAGGCCATTGAGCTACAGGGCTCACCCAAACATCTTGCCATGTTCCCTGTCGATTTATTAGTCTCTCTCCTTCCCTTATTCTCTACCAACACTTTCCACCTCTTGCTCTGAGAACCGTAATCAAATCAATATTACCATTGCTACTGAAAAGGGTACGACAATCAATTGTCAATCAAATGTCCTATGCTTCCACTTCACAATCCCAGGGATTCCCCAAACCAGATTTTTGCTCCCTGGCCATCATTTCCCTATATTGTCACTCCCGATTAGAATGCAAGCTTTTTGAGGGCAGGAACTGTTTCACTTTTGTCTTTGTATTCCTAGCACCTAGCACAATACCTAGTACACAAGATATATACAATAAATTCATTTTCATTTCTTCATTCACTGACTTAGCAAATAACTTTTAAGACCCTCCACAATGTAGCCCCATATTTCCAATCCAACCTTCTTTCTCAATATTCTCAATAAGAACTCTCCAATTCAGTCAGGCTGGTTTTCTCACAGTTTCCTCCCATCTCCAATCCACTTAATTCCCATATCCATTTATCCTGTAACTTATCCTATATAGTTCCTTTCTTCCATAGTCCCTTCCTCCATGAACCCAATAGCTTACCATAAAGTAGTGGTTGCAACCCCAAAGAAAGCTTCATATCAACCAGTAAACAAGTATTTTGTTGTTGCTGTTCAGTAGTTTCAATTGTGTCTGACTCCACGTGACCCTATTTGGGGTTTTCTCAGCAAAGATACTAGAGTGGTTACCATTTCCTTCTCCAGCTCATTTTATAGATGAGGAACTATTAAGTGATTTGCCCAGGGTCACACAGCTAGTAAGTGTCTGAGGTCAGATTTGAACATAGGAAGAAGTGTCTTTCTGACTCCAGGCACTACCCATTGTGCCACCTACCTGCCCCTTAAATATATTGATTATTGTACTAGGATTGCTGGAGAAAAAGCATCTGACTGACCAGTTTGCAGAAAGGCAGCATGTTAGAAGTGGGAAAGGTATGCTTCTAAGTCCAACGTCTTATTAGAATTGGTGGATCAACAGACTATGGTGGACTCAATCTATGGTCATTATGTATTAGCACAAGGCAGGAATAGGGAATACACAGAGCTGCTACAGAAGGCCAGAGCCTTGGGTATATGGGGTGAATCAGACACTCAGTATCCCAATATTTCCTGTATCTCACTTCCTGATGCAGATCCAAAGTGCCACTCCTATAACTGGCTTTCCACTTGCATTTCAGTCACTTAGATTTTTCTCCTCTGAAAAAATCCTAGGACTGACTCAGATAGGCCTGTTGGCTTACACATTTGTGTGGCTCCCAATTTGGACATCTGTCCTCACAAGGGACTACTAACCCTTCAACAACAGTGCTTAGCTTAACAACCAGACTATGTTGGTACATATTATTTAAAAAAAAAAAACAAAATAACCCTGGACTTAAAAGTGAGAACTGAGTACAAATCCCACTTCCCTTGCCTGTGACCCAGAGGAAGTCACTTAACCACCTTTAACCTCAGTTTTCTTATCTGGGAAAAAAAAAAGAAAAGGAGCCATTAATCCTTACTAAAAGCAAAG